TCAATTAAAATTTCTTGATTTTTAAAAAATTTTTTATCACAAAAAAAAAAAAAAAAAAAAAAAAAAAAATTGTAGAAGCTTTCTTTTTCAAATTTCTGCTATAAATATATAAATCAAATTCAAAAAGAAAATGTCAGCTCTGAAATATTGCATATAATACACTACGAAGAATATTGATCACCTTATTATTGCTGTTTCTACGAATCTTCTTCAGGCTATCTGTAACATCTTCCAAAGCACTAACATACAGTGAATTGTCTTCTGACTTCTCTAGATCTGTGCTGTGTCTAATATTCACGACCTTGTTGGGAATTTCCGTTTTATCGTCCTTTTTAATAATAGGCTTAACACGAGGCAATGGTTTCGACTTCACTGGGATAACTTTTGCAATATTAATTTCGGTAGGCTTGTCTATTACAACTAGTTTTCCATGAGTAACCATCTTTTTTGTTACATGATTCTGTCCTCCAAATGATGTAGTAATGGCCTATTAAATTCAAGTAATATAAAAAAAAAAAGAGATAAATAATACAATGATAAAAATATAGTACACAATGCATATAGAAAATAATAATACAGACATATTACAATGCTTTGATATAAATATACAGCATATATATTTATATCTAGTAATATAACAATTATAGTACATACATTAGTAATGTTTGTGAAGGCAGATCTTTTGACTGTTTTTTCTTTAGGTGGTGAAGCTTCCGCCTTCCGCTTAGTACGAGTATCTCTGCTGATAGACTGTTTTACTACATTGCTTATTGAAGCATTTTGACTTCTGGTTGTCATTCTATTCCTTAGGTTTATAGTGCTGTTTTGCCTATTCTGTCCAAGCAATACTTTTGGAGGTGCCATTTTTGTATAGAATAAAACTTTGGTACTTCTGTTCCTTGCCTAATTCCTATGATTCGACATTAAATGATTTATTTATATGCAGTATTAGAATATATAGTTCTTTTGTATTTAACAAATTATTTTTTTTATTTATTTAGTTGAGTAATTAAAATAATTCTATTCCATATATATATTACACACTAAAAAAATATAAGAAAACACAGTCGATAGATATCTTGAAGATAACTTTTTGTATACATTTTTGCTCGAGCAAAACTGACTATAAATTGATTAAGAAACTTATCGTTAAAAAATAATACAGTATAAAATGGATATTTTAGAAATGTTTTATATTTCCAAGACATGGTGATTTTTAATATGTATAAAAAAAAAGAAGAAAAAAATATTGCACAAACTCTTTTATACATACAGAAATCGCTCGTATATTCAACACGAGTTCGTCGCTAAAATAAAGTAAAATTCTCACGCTATTCGACGACATATGATCCGTATTATTCGTTGTAATTTTATCGTTCTCTCGAATACACGTGAGGCGAGATTCGAATTTGTGGAAGCTGTACAGGCGAGAAAAACGCGGGAACTTTCCAAGCTCGCGGATTCCCTTCGTTCGTTCGCGAAAAGCACGTTCGTACAATCTACTCCGTCACTATCACGGTCTCAAGGACGACGTTGAAAAAGCCATCGGTTTCGACGAGGGACTATACGGAGTATTACCGGTGATGTTGATAAACTCGAAGGTCGTCGGCAAAATATTTATCCCACGAGCAATATGGTGGAGTGGATCGCGTCCGGTGTAGCGATGGGTGTCGAAAGGGACACACGACGGTGTGCAAGAAACGTGGTGTACCTGCGTGAGAACCTCGTGTGTACGGATGATCGCAGTCCTCGCTTCTAACGTCCAAGCATCACCGCGCGCACTCTTCGCCCTCGTCCTTCGACGTGCGTGCGTTTCGTTCGAGCGTCGCCCAGTCGGCCTCCTCATCCGCCTCTTGTCGTTGACATTCAAAAACTCACGGTTATGGCCGATTGGCCAATCGTGCGCCGTCGCCGCGAGCGACATCTCGCGGCGACGCGTGGAGTTCCACGCGAGTGTGACTGGAATAACATCTGACAGATGTTTACCTGCGACTGATATATATATATATGATCCTCTTTAAACATCCTCTCCCATATCGCACCTTCTTAATTAAATTAAATTAAGGATGTTCCTAAGTTTAATTAATTTGTAATTAACGTTTAATTATTTAGTGATGTTCAAAATAATTAAAGATGTCCCTTAATTTAATTTAAATTAATTAAATTTTTTCAATTAAATTTTTTTTTAAATATGGGAAATTTTTTGCTAACCGTATTTTATTATATGTATATACTACTTTTATGTGCGTTTGATTTTACTTTTCATACAAGATTGTTTATATTAATTTTAATGATATAAAAAGAAAAAGAAAATTGATTTTAATGTTTACGTCAAATCAGATTCAGTTTTTCAATTCATCTTTAGAATAAATATATATATAATAATAATAAAAACAAACAATAAAATAACATATAATAATAATATATATAACAATAAAATATATTATATATATACTTCTTCTATTCTACTATATAGTAATTTATTTATCCGTCATATTCAATCATCAGAAATGTATTTATTATCAGTCCAATCCGAAAATATGGGGCGCATTCTCAGTCACTCGTATGGAAATTGCAGTAACTACCTAGTGCAAAGTTCATCGGGTTTCTTTCTCAGGGAGGCGCATATGAAAGAACGCTGAAAGCCACGCTGTGCGTGTTTCATTAATTCACGGCTGTGTGATTTGCACAGTCAAAATGCAACGCGAACGTCTCATCGTGAAATACGTCACGACAAATAATTGCTTCGCACATCTGTCTGCTACCTGGATGCGTCGTTTGAAAGCTGAGGTTAGTTTCCAGTTTTGTTTTTTCTTTTTATGTAGCGGTCGCCTTCGACGTAAAAACACGCGTGTCACGTGATACCATTGTTGTTAGACGGGCCAGATTTTTCGTGCGCGCGTGACGTAACGCGATGACGTTTACAATCACGTGTACGCGACGGGCGCCTCAGTTTTGGCGGGATTTCGCGAAAGACGAGTTAAATAACTGCGTAAATAAGTAGATAAATAAATATAATTCGTGAATATTATTTTTTTGTTTCATGTTTTTAATTAATCTTTCAAAATGTTAAAAATAACTTTTAAAAAGGATTAAACGGGGGCCCACACAGGACCTCATTTTGTTCGATCAATTACTTTATTGATACCACATTCAACGCGCATGCGCGAAAAAACCTGGCCAATATGAGTCACGTGACCGACAGAAGGCAGTAGCGCTCTCTGCAGGCATAACGTCATGTCGCGGGTCATGAAACATGCGATCAATATAGATGGTAATTCGATGATTTAAAGCGCCATCTATAAAAGAAGTGATGGACTCGATAGTGAATTGCTTCGAAAAAACAATTTTTGTAATTTTTCCTTCGAAAATACAGATGCACATATATTGTTATCCCATACAAAGTATAAAAAGCAAATAATAATTTATAAAATTCCATTCTATTTATAATTATCGAATAAAGTTATAAAAAGCTCGATTTTCTATAAAATTTTAAATTAATATCAACTCTACTTATTCATATATATAAATGTTAGCATAAAAACAGAAATAGAGAAAAACAGATAAAATAATTATATATCATCAATAATCAATTTAATATTTTGTAAGAAATCGAACTTTTTATAACTAGATAATTATAAAATAGAGTGGAAAATATATATTTTATAAATTATATATATTTTAAATATATAAATATAATTATATATAAATATTTAAAAAATTTAGATATATAAATTTTTACGCAGATATTTCACTCTTCTAGATTTCTCAAAAGCAATTATAATAAATTATCAATTATTAATTTTTAATTATAACAATTGTACGACAATTCGATGAATATTAATTACAGGAGAATGCGATCGAAATATCACACAAAGGGAGGCTGTATTATCTCTCTTGCGTTCCTCGGGTTGATAACGATGAGACATTATGTATCGGAGCGACATTCGCGAGAAGTTTGAACATCCAAGAAGGAGATGAAGTACTCGTGTCCTCCGTGAAAAACGTACCTTCGTTAAGTAGCATTAAAATCGTTCCTCGCACGTCGAGCGATCGCGAGCTTCTGGTAGGAAAATACTTTTATCACACCGGCTTGCCTAATCAACGAAATTAATTAATCAGTCGTCTTTACATTTGGCGAAACAGGAATTGCAAATGGAAAAGGTGCAATCGAATCTCTTGAGTCAAGTCAGAATCGTCGCGAAAGAACAGCCGATTGTGGCGTGGATCTCCAAGTTCTCTTCCGTAACTTTTATTGTGGGCAAGTGTGTTTTTTTTTGTAAAATTATTTAGAGATAATACAGAGTGTTTTCAAAATCATTATAAATGATAGACTATTTTATTTTATATCGCTAATTTTTATATAATTTTTTAATAATCAATCATTAAAGATATTTATATAGATCCTTTAAATGAATTTTATAATAATTTATCGATTATCAACTTCTTGATATTATTAATTATCAAGGCGATAGTCGGTGAATTATTATAAAATTAATATGAGGAATCTGTAAACGCGCTTTTGATTAATTATTAAAAAATACTCTGTACAATCCTTTTATACAGAAGATTCGGAGCCGAAATTTGCATATGGATTCCTCCAACAATTCACGGAAGTGCATGTGCTCGATGCGATCCCGAATGCAAAGATAAAGGACACAGATGTAAAGAAGGAGGTGGGCAACAAGATAGCCAATAGTTCTCTAGCCAAAATTTTGCCTTATTTTTTCAAAGAAGAGGATCATCGCGACTCGAGAGACAACGCTGCAAATTATGCATTATTGCAAAGTTTCCGCAAAAAGAGCGCACCTCGCGTATGTCGCCTTTATTCTCTGCCGGAGTTCCAGTCCTTTGATCAGTCGAACTCTTACGACATGATCCTGCGATGTCCCTGCAATGTTCTGATTCCAAGGAGTCATTTGCCGAAAAACGCGAACTCGACGAGTGGAATAATTATGTGTAAATGTTTATCAATAGTCATAAAATAATTTTTTATAGCTTATTTTAGTTATAATTTGTTCAATTTTATTTTATTATAAATTATAATTTTATTTATTTTATAATTTCATTGATTCATTTATACGTACATAAATCAAAATAAGATTAATTTCATATAATATGAAATATTATATTTATCTCAATAGGTTTTTTGGAAAGATTGAAAAAGTAAATTCATTCGCAGGTAAAATCAAAAAAGTATTAGAGGATTGTCAGCAACTTAACGTCACTAGCACAAATTTTCTGAAGGACGAGGGTCCTTCTCTATTCCCAAAATCTCCGCAAGAGCTTGTCGCAAGAATTTATATTCTCGAAGACATTTTAGAAAAATGTTCCGCGTCGTTAGACAGGAAGTATTTTGATCTGAATTCGATTCACTCTCGCGTGTATCTATCGGAGAGTTCGAGGATCACTCTGAAATTGAAAGTGGGAAGTAGAGTGATGGTACAGATGATCGAGGAGGCTGATGAACGGTTGCAGCCGTCGTCGGTGGACGTTTTTCCCTCCAGTCAATCGGTAACGGCGGAAGTTTTCCAAGATTATGTGAAATTCCATTCGAGACACGAGGCACTCTTGCTCAATTCGTGCTCGACAATTTTGCTCGACAACGGCGGACGATGCGTCGTCCGAATGTCACCCGCCAATTGCGATTACGTAACATTAGACAAGAGAAATATGAAAAACCTGGTGGTTCACGTTCGGTCTGTCTTGAATTCGAATGATGCGGAAATCGCGGAAAATTGTACCGAGGAAAAATTGGAGCTGAAGAAAATTTCCACGAGGTACGCAATTACATGTGCAATAACATTTCTAGACAGTACATAATATTTATATGATAAATATTCATAAATATGTTTTACTATTTATTTTTTGAAATATTATATAAACATTTTCTACATTTTTTACATTATATATGTTAAGAAATCATAAATACATTATTCAATATATTATTAAAATATAGATTAAATATTTTATATAATATTTATGATATTGTTAAATCTAAGATTACAAAAATATTTATAAAATATTTTGATAAATATTTATTAAATATTCAAATAATTATTATAAATATTTTGTACATTTTTATAAATATTGTGTGCTGTCTGGGTTTAGCTGTTATTGGTGGCTTGACAGTAACATTAATTTTTATATTAAATCGTTGCCTGTAATTATAAATCGAACCTTCATGTCAGACTTTTATGCCATGTAAAATTTCGACCCAAAAAAATTGCAGATTTACAAAGGGTATCCTCGAAGATTGCGAGATCGCGCTCGATCTCAGTTTGGGTCTGCAGAAACCGGTGGACTTCCGGTACGATCGGGAGAATATTTTGATCTGCGGCGACCTCGGCTCCGGCAAAACGACCATCTGCAAAATGCTAATCGAGCGTTATCGCGAGGCGCCCTATTTCGCTCACATGCACACGATTGATTGCAGATCGCTGAAAGGTAACACTGCGACTGCATTTTCGCGCAATTAGAGCAATTAACTGCGATATGGTGACGTATTTTGATTACGATCACAAATATCCGTGAAGAACTTCGAAAGCAAATAGTTATCTTTTTTTATTGTGACTATATATATATATACACATAATTACATAAAAGTACTACGATAAGATTATCGAAAACTAAATATTTTACGAGATATTTTATTTTTTATATCAAAATATGTCAGTTTAAAATATAAAATAACTCAAAAAGTACTTAATGAAAAAATACTTTATTATAGTGTTTTGAAAAGCTCTCGAGATAAGCTACAAGAATATGCAATGAAAAATAGGGGGTTCCATTTAAGAAATTGAAGGTGACCTTTATATGATCTTCAAACGACTATCCAAGGTCACACCAATAACACCATCTTATGTCCCCCTCAAAGTAAAAA